AGATTTCAGAGAGCTGATAAGGAGCTCATTTGCGGAGTGTGAAGTGCCTATGGGAATTTCAGGTCAGGCAGGTGGCATCAGGGATCTGGAGCTCAGGAGAGGTCTCAGAGGGAGGGGTCACCAGCAGATAGCTCTGGGCATGGATGAGGTTGTCTAGGAGCTAGTACAGATACAGAGGAAAGATGTCCTGGGACAGAATTGTGAGGAACTCGAGCATTTAGAGGAGGGCCAGAGGAAAGTGAAAATGTATGGGAAGCTAGGAATGGCCAGAGAGAGGGGGCAAACTGGAGTAGTAATGTGGAAGCCAGTGAAAGAAAATGTCTCAAGATGCAGTGGTGAACTATGTTGAATGGCTCCGGAGGGGCCAAACAGGACAAAGATGAGATGTGTCCATTGGATGTGGTGACCTTGAAGGTGGAAGCTGCATGGAGATAACTCTTTTTTTTTTTGGAGACAGAGTTTCGCTGTTATTAGACTGGAGTGCAATGGCATGATCTCGGCTAACTGCAACCTCTGCCTTCTGGGTTCAAGCAGTTCTCCTGTCTCAGCCTCCCGAGTAGCTGGGACTACAGGCGCGCACCACCATGCCCAGCTAATTTTTGTATTTTTAGTAGAGACGGGGTTTCACCTTGTTGACCAGGATGGTCTTGATCTCTTGACCTCGTGATCCACTTGCCTCCCAAAGTGCTGGGATTATAGGCATGAGCCACCGCGCCTGGCCCGGAGATAACTATTTAAAGAAGGTTGGCTGTGAAGAGGAGGTGGTTAGAGGTGGGTGTGTTGTGAGGTTTCAACAATGTGAAATCCTGTGAGAAAGAGGTAGGATGCAGAGTTGGAAAAATGAGAGGGCATCCCTGAGGGAGAAGGAAAAGAAGCTTTTATATCAGTGGTTCGTACTCAGAAATCTGTAAATGAGGGAGGAGGGCAGTGCAGTCTAAGGTGAGTCAATACAAAACCCTACTGTGGGGCCGGGCACCGTGACTCACACCTGTAATCCCAGCCCTTTGGGAGGCCAAGGTGGCGGATCACTTGAGCTCAGGAGTTTGAGACCAGTCTGGCCAACATGGTGAAACCCTGTCTCTATTAAAAATACAAAAGTTAGCCGGGCGTGGTTTCACATGCCTAGAATCCCAGTTACTCGGGAGGCTGAGGCATGAGAATTGCTTGAACCTGGGAGGTAGAGGTTGCAGTGAGCCAAGATTGTACTACTGCACAGCCTAGGTGACAGAGTGAGACTCTATCTCAAACAACAACGAATAACCCTACTATGGGCCAGCACCCAATGATCTTGTAAGGGAAGTTTACATTTTCCCCCATTGCCATGCACTTCACAGTGCCCTCTGTGGGAGGAATATATGTCCTTATCCCACTGCCCTAGGGCTTGGCCATGTGGCCTTGGTCAAGTGGGTATGAGCAGATATGCCATATGCCAGGTCTGAGCAGCAGTTTTAAGAGTGAGGGTGTGGTTTTCTCTGCCTTTTGTTCTTTTCCCCTGCCATTAAAACAATGTGTCCCAAATGAGGGCAGTTACTTCAGACTGGGTCTTGGAATAAAGGCACCTGAAGCAGAGCTGTAGCCAACACCACTACCAATGTAAGCCATGAAAGAGAGAGAAACCTCTCTTGTTATAAGCCAGTGGGATTCTGAAGCCATTTGTTAATATAGCAAAATGGACTAATATAGGCATTCAACCAAATTAAAACCCTGAGATACCATTTTTTAGTCCCCAGTTTCAAAAGTTTGATACATACTCTTGCTGAGGCTGAGGCTGAGGATGCAGGGACTTTTATACATTGGTACAACCTTTCTGGATGTAGGCAATCTCTGCAAATTAAAAACGCAGATATCTATGATAACAAAGACAATAGTAAGTGTTGGCAAGGATGTGGAAAAACTGGAACCCTTATACACTGCTGGTGGGAGTGTAAAACGGTGCAGTCATTGTGGAAAACAGTTTGGCAGTTCCTCAAAGGGCTTAACATCGTTACTGTGTTACTCAGCAATTCCACACTACTAAGTATACACCCAAGAGAATTGAAAACATATTCACATAAAAACTTGTACACAGATGTTCATAGCAGCATTATGCATAATAGTCAAAAAGTGGAAATAACTCATGTCCATCAACTGAAATGGATAGATAAAATGTGGTATATCCATACAGTGAGATATTATTTGGCCATACAAAGAAATACTGGTACATGCCACAACTTGGATGAACCTTAAAGGCATTATGTTAAGCAAAAGAGGCCAGTCACAAAAAAACCACATATTATATGACCGCTTTTATATGAAATGGCCAGACTAGACAAATCTATAGAAAAACAAAGTAGATTAGTAGTTGCCAGGGTCGGGGAAGGGGAGAATAGGAAATGACTGCTACTGAGTTTTTTATTTTTTGGGTGATGAAAATGTTCTGGAGTGAGAGAGTGATAATGGTTGTAACAACTTTATGAATTTATGAAAAACCACTTAATTGTACACTTTATTTTTAAAAATATTTATTATTTGAGACAGAATCTTGCTCTGTTGCCCAGGCTGGAGTGCAGTGGCATGATCTCAGCTCACTGCAGCCTCTGCCACCTGGGTTCAAGTGATCCTCCTGCGGATTACAGGCATGCACCACCACGCTTGGCGGTTTCACCAGGTTGGCCAGGTTGGTCTCAAACTCCTGACCTCAAGTGATCCACTTGCCTCGGCCTCTCAAAGTGCTAGGACTACAGGTGTGAGCCACCATGGCTGGCGACTTAATTGTACACTTTAAAGGGGTATGCCTTGTGGTATGTAAATTATATCTCAGTAAAACTATATTTTTTAAAAAGTGAGGAAATTTTAAATGTACTGATATGAAAAGATCGTCCCCATATTGTTAATTAAGAAAGTGCAGTAATTATGTATTATCTTTTATGTGCAAATAATTATCTTTTTATCTTATGTGCAGAAAATATGAATATACATTCACATTTGTTAGTTATTTGTATTAAAAACTCTGAAAGGATGCCCAATAAACTAATAAAAATGATTACATGTGGGAGTGGGAATAGGGCATATGGAATAGGGCGTATTATTAATAAAAGGGCAGCTCCAACTATAGCTGATTGTTCATATTTTAAAAGTCAGGTCTTGTTAGGTTATCAGGTCTTCTGAATTTTTTTTTCACAAGGAGCTGGAAGTCTGTATTTTTATGTAGAATATCTTTCAGTGTTGACAATTGTTATTATTTTAGAGATGGAGCCTCACTCTTGTTGTCCATGCTGGAGTGCAGTGGCACAATCTCTGCTCACTGCAACCTCTGCCTCCCAGACTCTAGTGATTCTCCTGCCTCAGCCTCCTCAGTATCTGGGATTACAGGCACCCACCACCACACCAAGCTTATTTTTGTATTTTTAGTAGAGATGGGGTTTCACCATGTTGGCCAGGCTGGTCTCGAACTCTTGACCTCAGGTGATCTGCCCTCCTTGGCCTCCCAAAATACTGGGTGTGAGCCACCATACCTGGCCTTTTTTTTTTTTTTTTTTTTTGAGACAGTCTTGCTCTGTTGCTCAGGCTGGAGTATAGTGGCATGATCATAGCTCCCTGCAGCCTTGACCTCATGGATTCAAATGACCGCCTCCACCTCCTGAGTATCCAGAACCACAGTTGTGTGCCATCATGCCCTGCTGATTTTTAAAATTTTTTATTGAGATGGGGTATTCCTATGTTGCTCAGGCTGATCTTGAACTCTGGGCTCAAGCAATCCTCCTGCCTTGGCCTCTCGAAGTGCTGGGATTACAGGAATGAGCCACTACACCTCACCAAGCTTTTTCTATTTTTAATTTTTTTCTTTTACTTTGAAAACTTTCTTGTTAAAAACGAAGACACAAACACACACATTAGCCTAGGCCTACACAGGGTCAAGGTCATCAGTATCACTGTCTTCCACCTCCACACCCTCAGGGGCAATAACACTGTGGTCTCCTAAGATAACAACGCCTTCTTCTGGAATACCTCCTGAAGGACCTGCTAAGGTTTTACAGTTACCTTTTTAAAAAAATAATGATAACTGTAGTTAATATATAAGCCAGTAACAGTTGTTTATAATTCTTATCAAGTATTACGTACTGTATGTAATTTTGTCAGACTTTTATATGGCTGGCAGCACAGTAGGTTTGTTTACACCAGCATCAACACAAACCAGTGAGTCAGGCATTGCCCTGTGGTGTTGTGACAGCTGCGATGTCACTAGGAGAGTTTCCAGCTTCATTATAGTCTGTATGGGATCACCGTTGAAAATGATCCATCATTGACTGAAACGTCGTTCTGTGGTGCATGACTGTGGTGTGAGGTCTACTGGCTGTTGGTAGTCGATTATATTAGACCAGCCCATTTTGAGGATGGTTGCTCCCTCTCCAGATTTTCTTGATTTTCTTGCCCTGTCATTTGGGGGGTCCCCAAGGCCTCGGTGTTTGATTCCTCCTCCCATCCTGAATGTTCTCTCCTTTGAGGAATGGAGCCCATCACAAGACTTCAGCTATACCCTGACTCTCAAACCTGCTTTCCATTCCAGCATCTCATCAGAGCTGTGGGCCTGACCCCCTCCCATAGGAGTATCTGTAGTTTGAGAAGACTTCCACTTGGATGAGTCTTTCCAAGCAATAACCACTTTATTTCTATCCAGTTTCCCCTTTCTGCATCCCTGTTTCTTTGAGGGGTGCCATCATTTTTCCAGTCTCCCAGGCTTGAAATCCCACGGTCATCTTTGAGTCTTCCTTCTCCCGCAGCATAGCTCCCCTAAATGTTGAATTCAGCATAATACAGGGAATGAGCATGCCTGCAGGTTCTTCTGTCTTTTTCTACTAACATTGCTCTTATTCAAGTGTGGATCATCTCTTGCCTCATTTACTGCAAGAGCCTGTTCATTCTCCTGCATCCTACTACTATAAATTAGTCTTCTGAGAGCATCCATCACACTGCATTATTCCTTGCCACACAGTCTTTCAGCAACTTCCCATTTTCTGCAGGATAAAATGTTGATTCCTTGGCCTGGCTGACACTCATGACTCCTCATGTGCTCATGAAGCTCTGCCCACCCTGCCTTCACTCCCATGCTCCTGCCGGCCCGGTGCCACTACCGACCTCAGGACAGGCCCTGCTCATTTATTCTGTAAGCTCATAGCTTGCCTCCTCTTACCCCTGAATGCCTCTCTTCCTCCCTGTCACCCACCCCATTTCTCCTGCCTTCTCTCGGGATTCAGCTCCAGTTCCACTGTAGATCTTTCTCAGCCTTCAGCCTCCATCCATCTCCTCCTTTCCTGAATTCTGAGGATACCTAGGGTCAGCATCCAGCCATGCCCTGGTCTGTAACTGCTGCTTATGTGTCTGTGTCCTCCCAGTGGGGAGAGGGGCCTTTCTCAGTCCCCAGCACCATGGGGTGTACACAGTTGGTGCTCACTACAAACAGGACTCCCAGCCCAGAAGGCACAGGATCATACTTGTTTAGCAGATGCTTCCTCAGTATAACCCCTTTTCTTCCTGCTCTAGGTGAAGGCTTTAGAAAGCAGGGCAGTTCTGAAAAGACTTTGGGGGTTGGGATGCAAAAGAGGTTGGCCTATGAGGCTTGCCTAAAGGATTTTTTCTTTGACCTATCTAGAGTTATGCCTAAAGGATTTTATGTCAGCTAGGTGCTTATGCCTGTAATCCTAGCACTTTGGGAGGCTGAGGTCTGTGGATCACCTGAGGTTAGGAGTTTGAGACCAGTCTGGCCAACATGGTGAAACCCTATCTCTACTAAAAATACAAAAATTAGTTCGGCATGGTGGTGGGTGCCTGCAGTCCCAGCTGCTTGGGAGGCTGAGGCAGGAGAATTGCTTGAGCCTAGGAGGCAGAGGTTGCAGTGAGCTGAGATCATGCCATTGTACTCTGGCCTGGGTAGCAGAGCAAGACTCCATCTCAAAAAAAAAAAAGGATTTTACGTCCCTGCCTCTCAGGTACCCTCTCCCTCAGTCTCCAGGGTCAGTTGTGGCAGTTTCTTGGGTCCTGGGATGCACCCCCACATTGGGCCCTGGGATGCACAGTGCGAGTCCCCTCTTCTGCGCTGATCCTCTGCTTCTCGCCTCTCTGGGGTTAATGTACCACGGGTTTTGCCTTTCATCTCATTTCCCATCTCCTTCTGTCAGCTAATGATTATTCAGGGAGGGTCACCTCACCCTGCTGTCCTTATCCCAAATCTGTCAAAGTTCTGTTTAGGGCAAAGGTCATGAGAATTATGTCATGGCCATGTGACTGCTGTTTTCACCCCACTCCTTCTGCTGTCTTGGTCCTACCATTCTGAGGCGCTACCTGTGCACCCTGCCTCTGGCTCTCCTGAGCAGAAAGGTAAGCTGCTTGTCTCTGCCTCAGGTGGAAATGGCCACTAGAGTCCACCTGCTCAGCATTGACTGCCTTTTCTCTCCCACCTGTTCCCCCTGGCTTTCACCCTGGGCACTCTCACTTGCCCTTGTCTGTGTACTGGAGGCTGAGACTGAGCTGCAGGACTCGGACCTCAGGCCCATTTGGGGAGGGGGCTCCTGCTGGGTAGGTCCAGGTAGGGTACCAGGCTGAGTAGGGAATGACTCTGCTCTGCCACAGATCCTGATGGCTGACTCAGAAGCACTCTCCTCCCATGCTGGGGATCCTGTGGCTGTGGAAGCCTTGCTCCAGGCGGTGTTTGGGATTGTTGTGGGTGAGGCCATTCAGAAAGGAACCAGTGCCTCTGAGAAGGTAAATCCTTTCCGCCTCCTCCTTCCCATCAAGACTTCTTGTTCTCTTTCCAAATCTGGCTCAGAACTTTCCTCCTTTGATAAACTTCTCCCCAGGATTCGTCCCTGTCCCGCGGGGTACCTCAGGGATTTACATGCTGGGTCTTACCGTGTTCTCTACCCTTGTTCATTCTCATGGTTTTGCTTTGAAAACATCCTGAAGTTGTTGTTAGTGCAGGTTGACCGTGTCTCGTGTCTGTGGAGGTGTGGTTTGACAGTCAGTCCACAGGCATCCCAGGCCCCCAGCATCCCTGGCTCTCCTCCTAGGTCTGTGAGTGGAAGGAGCCTGAGGAGCTGAAGAAGCTGCTGGATTTGGAGCTGCGGAGCCAGGGGGAGTCGCAGGAGCAGATCCTGGACCGTTGCCGGGCTGTGATTCGCTACAGTGTCAAGACCGGTGGGTCCCGGCTTCTGTGAGGAGGAGACTAGGGAGTTTGCCCTGAGCTCCACTCTGAGCTCCCTGCCCTGCTCCTCTTCTCCAGGTCACCCTCGGTTCTTCAACCAGCTCTTCTCAGGGTTGGATCCCCATGCTCTGGCCGGGCGCATTATCACCGAGAGCCTCAACACCAGCCAGTGAGCATCCCAAGGCCCCTCTACCAGCCCACAAAGGATTTAGGTTTGCTGGAGAGGTGCCTGAGGGTAGGGGAAGAGAATGGTTCTGCTCCCTCTCTACTGTCTGGGAATCCCTGGCAGCAGAGAGTTTTTCCTCATATCCTTTGGACCCCCTTTCTCCAAACTGCCTCAGGCCTCCTGATCCCTGTTTTTTCTTTCTTGCTTCCCTAGTTCTGTCACCAACTGGTTCTCTTTGGACTCTTCCTTTGCTCGTTCTCATCACCTCCTTTCTGTGACTCCTGTGCAGTTTAAGGGCCTGTCTGGGCAGCCCCTCCCCATCTGTCGTTTCTTGTCATCCTCTCTCCTGGCAGGTACACGTATGAAATCGCCCCCGTGTTTGTGCTCATGGAAGAGGAGGTGCTGAGGAAGCTGCGGGCCCTGGTGGGCTGGAGCTCTGGGGATGGAATCTTCTGCCCTGGTATGTGAGAAGGAGGGGACTTTCCTTTGGCCTCTTTATGGCTTTCTCCTCCCCAGCTATTCCCTTGCTCTGGCAGGGAGGGATGGTTCCTCTCCAGCTGGGCCCAGACCAGGCCAGGGAGGAGGCTGCCCGGTCCCTTCATGCTCGTGTTTGTCACCCTTTCACTGGTCTAGTGCCTGCTGTCTCTGGACAGAGGCTGTCTCTTGGGGGCAGCACTGGGTGTAGAGGGGTATGGTCAAGAGGATCTACTGATCCTGGGATGGTGTGATCCTGGGAATTGTGGGCTGGGAGCCAGTCATACCTGCTTCTTTGATGAGCTCTTCTGGTGGAAAAGGAAGGGGAGGCAAGCTCCAGTCTTGATCCACTGCCCATTTCCCTTGCCACCACCCCTCCCTGTGACAGGTGGCTCCATCTCCAACATGTATGCTGTAAATCTGGCCCGTTATCAGCGCTACCCGGATTGCAAGCAGAGGGGCCTCCGCACACTGCCGCCCCTGGCCCTATTCACATCAAAGGAGGTGGGGAAGAGGCACAGGCCCAACCTTGGGCTCCTGATTCTAATCTCCAGCCAGCTAAGTAGAGACCCTCCAGGTCTTCTCCCTACCCTCCCCACATCCTCCAAGGCCAGCCTGCTCCCAGGCAGATGTGCTTCCTTCCAATCAAGGAGGCCAAGTGACTGCTCCTGCTCATGTTGCCTTCAGTTTGGGGAAGAGGAGGGGCCGTGAGTGCAGTGGATGCAGTCCATACTCTATCCACTCAAGAGTGTGGTCTGTGGACCAGCAGCATTGGTACCACCTGGGGCTTGTTAGAAATGCAGAATCTGGCCAGGTGCAATGACTTATGCCTGTAATCCCAGCACTTTGAGAGGCCAAGGTGGGTGGATTGCCTGAGCTCAGGAGTTTGAGATCACCCTGGGAAACATGGTGAAATCCTGTCACTAAAATACAAAAAAATTAGCTGTGTGTGGTGGTGGGTGCCTGTAGTCCTAGCTGCTTAGGAGGCTGAGGCACAGGAATTGCTTGAGCCTGAGAGGTGGAGGTTGCAGTGAGTCGAGATTGTGCCACTGCACTCCAGCCTGGGAGACAGAGGAAGACTTTGTCTCCAAAAAAAAAAAAAAAAAGCAGAATCTCAGGCCCCACCCCAGACCCCAGACCCCAGACCTAGCAGACTTGAATCTGCATTTTAACCAGATGATTCGTATGCACACTAACATTTGAGAAGCCGTGGTCTACAGGATCCTATCTGTTGCAGCTCATACTTGACTTTTACCTTTTCTTCCCACCCCCATCAAGTTGTGCTAACCTGCCCTCTGTCTTCCCCTCAGTGTCACTACTCCATCCAGAAGGGAGCTGCGTTTCTGGGACTTGGCACTGACAGTGTCCGAGTGGTCAAGGCTGATGAGAGGTGAAGGTCCTTCGGCCCACATGACTGTGACCCACCTTGGCACAGTGTACTTTCCTGCTGCCAGAATGCTCTGGCATCAAGCCCTTACCACTGGTGAACCTGTCTCCCCTCACTATTCGGTAGAATTGCTGTTCCTGTCTCCCAGAGCCTGAGAGCTATTTCTGCCCTGAGAGAAAAATCTCTCCCCAGAGAGATCTTAGCTCTCTGCCCTGAGATCTATTTCATCCCCTGAGGGAAAAACCAGGACTGTCATCTCTTCATTGCTAACCTCATCTTACCCTGCCTTCAACAGAGAACCTGTCCCTGCTCTACCCTCTCCTTTTTTTTTTTCAGAGGGAGAATGGTCCCCGAGGATCTGGAGAGGCAGATCAGTATGGCCGAGGCTGAGGTGAGAGTGAGGGTCGGTGGGGTAGTGGAGCCTCCAGCCTTCTTGGAGGGTTATTTGTGCTCTCCCTGCTCAAGGAACCCTCCATCGCCCTCCTCATCTCCATTCCCATCTCCCCTGTAGGCTGAAGTGACCATGGGGAGCTTGGGAGTGAGGTCACTATGTTGCTTTCTGGGGCTCTGCCCAGACACCTAGGACTGGTTGGATTCTGAGAGACAGGACTGAGTCAAGGAGCAAGTCCCAGGCAGCACCACAGGGAGGGTGCTGGAGGCCTGCAGTGTAGTGTGGAAGGTTCCTGTGGGCTGCAAGGGTCTGCGCAGGGAGAGGCTGAGGAGGGGAGGGGAACTGGTGAAGGCTGTGAGTAGTGGGGATGAGGGGACACCAGCACTCTCTTCCACTTTGAGGGGTATGTAACTGCTATAGCCACCTTGGAGGGCATTTTGGCACCATCTATACAATTTTGTTTATTTTTATTTTTAAATATGTTAAAAATTTATTTAAATATTTAAAAATTTTTTTATTAAAAAAATTTTTTTGAGACCAAGTCTCACTGTCATCCAGCCTGGAGTGCAGTGATGTGATCTCGGCTCACTGCAATGTACCCCTCCCAGGCTCAAGCTATCCTCAGCCTCTTGAGTAGCTGGGATTACAGGCGTCCACCACCACACCCAACTAACTTTTGTATTTTTTGGTAAAGATGAGGTTTCACCATGTTGCCCAGGCTCCTCTCAAACTCCTGGGCTCAATTGATCACTCACCTTGTCTTCTCACGGTGCAGAGATTACAGGTATGAGCCGCCATGCCGGGCCAACAATTTTAGATGTATCTTTCCGATTCAGAGTTCCACTGCTAAGAATTTATGTTATAAATCATCATCACAAGTGTGTGGAATTCTGTACATGAGAATATTTCCTGGAACAAAGGGTAAATGTTTTATGTTTAAATATAAATGTAAATTCTATTTTTTTTTTTTTTTTTTTTTGAGACAGAGTCTTGCTTTGTCGCCCAAGCTGGAGTGCAGTGGCACAGTCTCGGCTCACTGCAACTTCTGCCTCCTGGGGTCCAGCGATTCTCATGCCTCAGCCTTCTGAGTACCTGAGATTACAGGTGTGCATCACCACGCCTGGCTAATTTTTGTATTTTTAGTAGAGACGGGGTTTCACCATGTTGGCCAGGCTGGTCTCGAACTCCTGACCACAAACAGTCCACCCGTCTTGCCTCCCAAAGTGCTGGAATTACACGTGTGAGCCACCATGCCTGGCCATAAATGTTTTTAAAAAACATTTAAATGACCATTAGTAGACTAAATAAATTATGGTATATCTGTGTGTCTCAGTTCTTCCTCTGTAAAATGGACAGAATATAGAACTTGCCACACAGGGTTATTGTAAGGATTGAATGAATTAGTATATGTAAAGACTTAGAAGAGCGCCTGGCATTTAGCTGCACTGTATAAATACAAGCTGCTGGTATTGCTGTCGTTATTACTTATTTATTTTTGAGATGGAGTCTCAAAAATTGTTGTTGTTATTTATTTATTTATTTTATTTTGAGATGGAATCTCACTTGTTGCCAGGCCAGAGTGCAGTGGTGTGATCTTGGCTCACTGCGATCTCCGCCTCCCAGATTCCTGACTCAGCCTCCTGAGTAGCTGGCATGCACCACCACACCTAGCTAATTTTCGTATTTTTAGTAGAGAACAGGGTTTCACCATGTTGGTCAGGATAGTCTCAATCTCCTGACCTCATGATCTGCCATCGTCAGCCTCCCAAAGTGTTGGGATTACAGGCGTGAGTCACTGCGCCTGGCCCTTTGTTGTTATTATTATTTATTACTATTATTAGAGTACTGGGTAACCATTTAAAAAGAGCAAGGTAAGAATATATATACTAACATGAAAGTATCTCCTCTATATATATTAAATATATATTGCAAATTGTAGTATAGAATGGACATTATGAGCACATTTTTGTTATTTAGAACAGTATAGGCTGGGCATGGTGGCTCATACCTGTAATCCCAGCACTTTGGGAAGCTGAGGAGGACAGATCATGAGGTTGGGAGTTCGAGACCAGCCTGGCCAATATGGTGAAACCCCGTCTCTACTATAAATACAAAAGTTAACCGGTGTGGTGGTGCATGCCTGTAGTCCCAGATACTCAGGGGGCTGAGGCAGGAGAATTGCTTGAACCCAGGAGGTGGAGGTTGCCGCGAGCTGACATCGTGCCACTGTACTCTAGCCTGCATGATAAAGTGAGACTCCATTTCAAACAAAACAAAAAGAGAAAACAGCATGTATTTATTCATATATGGATGTTACCTCTCAGTAGCACTAAGGACAGCAATGAGAATAGTGATGTTTCTCTTTTTATTTTATTTATTTATTTTTTGAGATGGAGTTTCGCGTTTGTTACCCAGGATAGAGTGCAATGATGTCATCTCGGCTCACTGCAAACTCCGCCTCCCGGGTTCAAGCGATACTCCTGCCTCAGCCTCCTGAGTAGCTGGGATTACCGGCATGCGCCACCACGCCCAGCTAATTTTGTATTTTTAATAGAGACGGGGTTTCTCCATGTTGGCCAGGCTGGTCTTGAACTCCCGACCTCAGGTGATTTACCAGCCTCAGCCTCCCAAAGTGCTGGGATTACAGGCGTGAGCCACCATGCCCGGCCTGTTTCTCTTTTTAATTATATAAACGTTATGATAATAGCTTTATTGATATATAATTCACATGACATGTAATTCACCTAACATATAATTTACCCACTTAAAGGGAACTATTTAGTGGTTTAGCATATTTGCAGAGTTGTGCAAATGTCATCATCATCAGTATTAGAACATTTTTATCACCCCCAAAAGAAACCCCATACCCTATAGCTGCTGCTCTCTAATTCTCCCAAAACTCCCAGTGCTAGGCAACCAGTCATCTACTTATTGTCTCTATAGATTTGCCTGTTCTGAATTCTGGAATCATGCTATACATGCCTTTTGTGATGAGCTTCTTTTACAAAGAATAATCTCTTCAAAGTTCATCCAAGCTGTAGCATATACCAGAACTCCATTTTTTTGTATGGCCAAATAATATTCCATTATATGAATATACCACATTTATTTATCCATTCATCAGTTGTTGGACATCTGGGTTGTTTCCACTTGGGGCTATTATGAATAATGCTGCTATAAACATTTGTGTACAGGTTTCTGTGTGAAAATATGTTTTTATTTCTCTTGGTTATATATCTAGGAGTGGAATTGCTGGGTCATATGGTAACTCTGTATCTAACCTTTTGGGAAACTGCCAGACTGTTTTCCAAAGTGGCTGCACCAGTTTACCGTCCCACCAACAATGTATGAGGATTCCAGTTGCTCCACATACTCACCAGCTCTTGTTGTATCTTTTTTTGATTATACCACTTTTGGGTGTGAAGTGGGATCTCATTGTGTTTTGATTTCATTTTCCCTGGTGACTAATGATGTTGACCTTCTTGTCATGTGCTTATGGGCCATTTGTATGTCTTTGGAAAAATGTCTATTCAGATCTTTCACCCATTTTGTTTTTCATAGAACTTTTATTCCAGTAAGGAAGACTGACATTCACAAATATGTGTACAAATCTGCATATGTGCTAAGATGGTGAGGTACATTGTGCTCTTTGAGCACACAATACAGGATAATTGACCTAATCAAGAGGTGAAGGAGTCAGGGAAGACTTCCCTCAGAAGGGATGGTTGAGCTGAGACTGGAAGGGAGAAAAGAAATGAACTAGGTTGTGCTCCTTTGGGTAGACAAGAAGATTCTGTGTGTGTGCAGAGGCCATGGGATATTTCTGGAATTGAAAATATGGAGCAGGAGCAGCTTCCCTCCTTTGCCTGGACTGTTTCCACTCTACCTGTAGCCTTCCTCATCCATGGGTACTTGCTTGGGGCTGATGCTGCCATCCACCCTAGTCTCCCAGTCATCAAGGGAGCATTTGGAAGTGTGTGGAGCTGTTTTATTTTGTGCTGTTTTGTGATTCTAGCCAGAGGGCATTACTGCATTTACTGAGAGAGAAACATGGATACTAAACATTTCTGCAGTGTGCAAGGATAGCTCTACATGCCGGTAGGGTCTCTGTTGAGAATCTACTGCAAGTTCTACCTTTTTTTTGTGTGTGTGTGTAACATAAAATTTATAATCTTAACCATTTTTACATGTACAGTTCAGTAGTCTTAAATACATTCACATTGTTGAGAAACCAGTCTTCAGAACTCTTTTCATCTTGTTTTTTTTGTTTTTGTTTTTGGAGACAAAGTGTCACTCTGTCCCCCAGGCTGGAGTAGAGTAGCGCAGTCTCAGCTCACTGCAGCCTTTGCCTCCTGGGTTCAAGCAATTCTTTCCCAGACTCCTGAGTAGCTGGGATTACAGGCCCCTGCCACCACACCTGGCTAGTTTTTGTATTTTTAGTAGAGATAGGATTTTGCCACATTGACCGGGCTGGTCTCGAACTCCTGGCCTCAAGTGATTCGTCCACCTTGGTCTCTCAAAGTGCTGAGATTACAGGCATGAGCCACTGCACCCAGCAGAACTCTTCAATTTGTAAAACTGAAACTCTATATCCATTGAACAACAACTCATTACCCCCTCCTCCAGCTTCTGGCAGCCACCGTTCTACTTTCTGTCTACATGACTTTGTCTGTTCTAAGTACTTATGTAAGTGGAATCATATGGTATTTGTCTTTTTCTATTGGCTTATTTCACTTAGCGGAATGTCCTCAAAGTTCATCCAGTTGTAGCATGTGAAAATTTTCTTCCTTTTTAAGACTGAATAATATTTCATTGTACATACATGTTACATTTTACTTATCCATTAATCTGTTTGGGTTGCTGTTTGGAATCTCTTCGAGATCCTGCTTTCAGTATTTTGGACGTATACCCAGAAGTGGAATTGCTGAAGCCTAGGGTAATTCTATTGAATTGTTTTTGAGGAACTGCCATACCGTTGTCTGTAGTGTCTGTACCAGTTTACATTCTCCTAGTGCGCAAGGGTTCTAATTTCTTCATGTTCTTGTCAATGCTTTTTTTTTTTTTTTTTTTTTTTGAGACAGGGTCTTGCTCTGTCATCCAGGCTGGAGTGCAGTGGCATGTTCATGGTTCACTGCAGCCTTGACCTCCCACCTCAGCCTCCCAAGTAGCTGAGACCACAGGTGCACACTGCCACACTTGGCTAATTTTAAACATTATTTTTGGTAGAGACCCATCTCTACCAAAATCTTACTTCACTGTGTTGCCCAGGCTGGTCTCAAACTCCTAGGCTTCAAACCATCCTCCCACCTCAGCCTCTTAGAGTACTGGGATTACAGGCATGAGCCACCACATCAGGCCATTTTCTGTTATTTTGATAGGTGTTATCCTAATGGTTGTGAGGTAGTAACTCATCATAGTTTTGATTTGCATTTCCCTAATGATTAGTAATGCTGAGCATCTTTTCATGTGCTTAGTAATTTATATTTATATATATATATATATATATATATTTTTTTTTTTTTTTTTTAGATGGAGTTTCGCTCTTGTTACCCAGGCTGGAGTGCAATGGCCTGATCTCGGCTCACTGCAACCTCCGTCTCCTGGGTTCAAGCAATTCTCCTGCCTCAGCCTCCCGAGTAGCTGGGACTACAGGCACGCACCACCATGCCCAGCTAATTTTTGTATTTTTAGTAGAGATGGGGTTTCACCATGTTGACCAGGATGGTCTCGATCTCTTGACCTCATGATCTACCTGTCTCGGCCTCCCAAAGTGCTGGGGTTATAGGTGTGAGCCACCACGCCCGGCCGTAATTTATATCTTTATTGAAAAAATGTCTAGTCTGATCCTTTGCCCCTTTAAAAAATTATGTTGTCTTTTTATTACTGAGTTATAGGAGTTCTTCATATATTCTAGATGTAAGTCCCTTATCAGATATGTGATTTTCAGATATGTTCTTCCCATTCTATAGGTTGGCTTTTTACTTTTTTGAAACTTTTATTTTAGATTCAGTAAGTACATGTGCAGGTTTGTTATAAGGGTATATTTTGTGATTCTGAGGTTTGGGGCGTCCAGGTAGTGAGCATAGTACCCAATACGTATGTTTTCAACCTTTGCTCCCCTCCCTCCTGCTTCTTATAGTCCCCAGTGTCTGTTGTTCCCATCTTTCTGTCCATATGGACTCAGTATTTAGCTCCCACTTATGAGACCATGTGGTATTTGGGTTTCTGTTTCTGTGTTAACTCACTTAGGATACTGACCTCAGCTGCATCCATGTTGCTACAAAGGACATTTCATTATGGCTGCATAATATTTCATGGTTTATATATGCCACATTTAAAAAAATTTAATCTACTGTTGGTGGGCACTTAGGTTGATTCCATGTCTTTGCTATTGGACTTTTCACTTTTTTGATAGTGTCCTTTGAAGTACAAAAGTTTTAAATTGGCTGGGCATGGTGGCTCACACCTGTAATCCCAGCACTTTAGGAGGCTGAAGAGGGCAGATACCTCAGGTTGGGAGTTTGAGACCAGCCTGACCAACAAGAAGAAACCCCACCTCTACTAAAAATACAAAATTAGCTGGGTATGGTGGCGCAGGCCTGTAATCCAGGCTACTCGGGAGGCTGAGGCAGGAGAATCGCTTGAACCTGGGAGGCGGAGGGTGTGGTGAGCTGAGATGGCGCCGTTCCACTCCAGCCTGGGCAAAAAGAGTGAAACTTCATCTCAAAAAACAAAAAAAAGTTTTACAATTTGAAGTCCAGTTTATCTAGTTTTTCTTTGGTTGCTTGTTTTTGGTGTTATATCTAAACTAACTCTCTGTTTAAAAGATTCACTCCACTGTTCTAAGAGTTTTATAGTTTTAGCTCTGATATTTAGGCGTATGATCCAATATGAGTTAATATGAGGGTGTGATGTGGATATCCAGTTGTCCCAGCACCATTTGTTGAAAAGACAGTTTTTTCTCCAATAAATTGTCTTGGCATTCTTGTAAATCAGTTGACTGTAAACTGAAATCAGTTGACTGCTATTTCTGGGTTGTCAGTTCTGTTCCATTGATCTGCATGTCTATCCTGTAGACCACATTGTCTTGATTCAGCTGTAGCTTTGTAGTATGTTTTGAAATCAGGAAGTGTGAGTCCTCCAACTGTGTTCTTTTTTCAAGATTGTTTTTGGCCAGTCTGGGTTCCTTGAATTTCCATATGAATTTAAGATCAGCTTGTCAGTTTCCGCAAAGAGGGCAACTGGGATTTTGATAGGAATTGTGCTTATTCATCAACATGAAACATCTTTCCATTTATTTAGGGTTTAATTTCTTTCCACAGTGTTTTATAGTTTTCAGAGTATATTCTTTTGTTAAATTGATTCTTAAGTATTTTATTGTTTGGTGTTTTTGTAAATGAAATTGTTTTCTTAATTTCATTTTTAGATTGTTGCTAATATGTATAGAGATAAAATTGATTTTTGTATATTCTGTCTTTTGGAAGAGTTTGTGATCTGTTATCAGTTTTTTCATTAAATGTTTGATGGAATTCATCAGTGAAGCCATCTGGGCCTGGGCTTTTCTTTTCCTTTTTTTTTTTTTAGAGATGGGGTTTTACCATGTTGGCCAGGCTGGTCTCAGACTCCTGACTTCATGTGATCCACCCACCTCGGCCTCCTAAAGTGCTCGGATTACAGCCATGAGCCACTGCGCCTGGCCCCCTTTTCCTTTTAACATAAAAAAAAAAAAATTGCGACAGAGTCTTGCTCTGTTGCTGAGGCTGGAGTGCAGTGGCACAATCAGGGCTCACTGCAGCCTTGACCACCTGGGCTCAAGTGATCCTCCTGTCTCAGACTCCCACTGTGGTAGGTTTTTTTTTTTTTTTTTTTTTTGAGATAGGGCCTCACTCCATTGCCCAGGCTGGAGAGCAATAGTGTAATCATAGTTCACTGCAGCCTTGATCCCCCAGGCTCAAGTGATCCTCCTACCTCAGCCTCCCAGGTAGCAGGGACTATAGGGGTGCGTCACTATATACCTGTGTATTTTATTTTTTTGGTAGAGATGAGGTTTTGCTAGGTTGCTCAGGCTGGTCTCAAACTCTTGGGCTCAAGCGATTCTCCTGCCTTGGCCTCCCAAAGTGCTGGGATTACAGGCATGAACTACCACATCCAGCTTGTGGTAGTTTTTAAAATTACTAATTCAATGTCTGCATAAACTTTTGTACTATTCAAATTTATTTATTTATTTTTGAGACAGAATCTCACTCTTTTTGGCTGGAATACAATGGCATGATCTTGGCTCAGAACCCAACCTCTGCCTCTTGGGTTCACGCAATTCTCCTGCCTCAGCCTCAGCCTCAGCCTCCCGAGTAGCTGGGATTACAGACATGTGCCACCACACCCAGCTAATTTTTGTATTTTTTAGTAGAGATGGAGTTTTGCCATGTTGGCCAGGCTTGTCTCGAACTCGTGGCCTCAAGTGATCCGCCTGCCTTGGCCTCCCAAAGTGCTGGGATTACAGGCATGAGCCACTGCTCCTAGCCTGTTTATTTTTTGAGACAGAGTTTCACTCTGTTGCCCAGGCTGGAATGCAGTGGCACAGTCATAGTTCGTTGTAACCGCAAACTCCTGGGCTCAAGCGATCCTCCCACCTCTGCCTCCTGAGTAGCTGGGACTACAGGCATGAGCCACCACACTTGGCTAATTAAAAAAAAAATTTTTTTTTAGAGATGGTCTTGCTATGTTGCCCAGGATAGTCTTGAACTCTTGGCCTTGGCCAATCCTACTGCCTTGGGCTCCCAAAGTGCTGAAATTATAGGTGTGAGCTATTATACCTGGCTCAAAATTTTTTCAGTAGCATTTAGATCTTCTAGTAAAACATTAAGGTTTTTTGAGAATATGAGCTTTAGAAATAAAAACCTAGGTTCAAAGACCTATGTTCAGTGTCCATCTCTGGAGCTTCTGCTTGGATCTTTGAACATCAATGTTTCTACCTGCACATTAAAAAGGACGGTAATACATTGTTGTGAGGTTGAAATGGCTGTTTTAGGCATGCAAACAGCTTAGAGCTGGGCCCAGCACTAGGCTCTGAGTAGCTTTTGAGATGACTTTATGTCTTTCTCCCTCTACATTTTGGCAACAGGGTGCTGTGCCGTTCCTGGTCAGTGCCACCTCTGGTACCACTGTGCTAGGGGCCTTTGACCCCCTGGAGGCAATTGCTGATGTGTGCCAGCGTCATGGGCTATGGCTGCATGTGGATGTGAGTGGGACTTGGCTTGGTGGGTATGGTGGGGTGGGCTGAGCCAAGGCCAAGGCCCACACTGTTCCTCCTGCTCCACAGGCTGCCTGGGGTGGGAGCGTCCTGCTGTCACAGACACACAGGCATCTCCTGGATGGGATCCAGAGGTGCATATGGTCCCTTTCTTCCCAAATCCCACCCTTCAAACCATTGATCCAGAGAATCATCATGGACTAGGGAGTTTAACATGGCTGGGGAAGGAGGCTGATGGGAGGGGGACTGGAGAGAGCATGGATTGGAGCTGGGAGGTCAGACATATCAATTCTTCCTGATGCTGGGTGAGGGTAAGACCAAAGCCCCATTACTAGGGGTCTGGAAAAGGAGGAGGGGCCACTGACCTGCCTTTGCTCTACCCCATCCAGGGCTGACTCTGTGGCCTGGAATCCCCACAAGCTCCTCGCAGCAGGCCTGCAATGCTCTGCACTTCTCCTCCAGGACACCTCGGTGGGTCTGCCTCTGCCCCTGCACCGGCCCCACCTCTCTCTCTGGAGTGCTGCCTTCTCTATCCCACCTTAGATAAGGTCCAGGCCTTTCTTTATTCTCCTTACCCCATCCCTTCTGAAGCTGCATCTTTGCTACCACCCTTCCCTGTCTTAGGCTCCTTCACTCCCCCAGGGTCCTGTCTTCACGCAAAGGGAAAAGTTTCCAGCTTGAAGTTGAAGTCAGAGGTATCCTGGAGTTTCTAGCTTGAAGTTGCTGTCAGAGTTTGGGAAGAACACTGAGTATTGGGAGGACACCCAAAGAAAGAGGTTGGAGCCAGCAGGCAGTGGTCCCAGCAGTGCTGCCTGGTTCCAGGGAAAGAACAGGGTGTCCTGAGCTACCACCCGCTCAGTGCAGCCCTGGAAAAAAGCCTCAGTGGAGAGGGTAGGGTCTAACAGTGTCCTCACCCTGACACAGAACCTGCTCAAGCGCTGCCATGGGGCCCAGGCCAGCTACCTTTTCCAGCAGGACAAGTTCTACGATGTGGAACTGGACACCGGAGACAAGGTGGTGCAGTGTGGCCGCCGCGTGGACTGTCTGAAGCTATGGCTCATGTGGAAGGCACAGGGCAGTCAAGGGCTGGAGCTGCGCATCGACCAGGCCTTTGCCCTTGCCCGGTAGGCGGGTGGAGGGTGTGTGTGGGGGTTGTCCTTGTTTCCCTCTCCTGGGTCCATACCCCTCCCCCTTTCCTACTCATAGGATTACTTTTCTCTGTCTCTCTGTGGCTCATTCTCTGTGGTCCTCTTCTGTCTCTGGATCTCTGCTTTTCCTCCTGACCTGTGGTTTCTCACTGTCTGTTCACAGGTACCTGGTGGAGGAAATGAAGAAGCGGGAAGGGTTTGAGCTAGTCATGGAGGTAGGACCCCCTTCTCTTTTGCGGCCCCCAACCCCCAACCAAAGCACTGGTAGAGAAAAAAGCGCAGGGAGAGGGAAAACTGTCACCCTGCCTCAGCTCACAGCTTCCTCTTTCTCATTCCTCTCAGCCTGAGTTTGTCAATGTGTGTTTCTGGTTCGTGCCCCCCAGCCTTCGAGGGAAGCAGGATAGTCCAGATTACCACAAAAGGCTGTCGAAGGTAGGGGTGCTCTGCTGCTCTGCTTACCGGTTAGGGAGCTGATGCAGTTTATGCGCTTCTGCCGTCTGCTGGCTGGGAGCGGCATGGCAGGTGCCCTTGACGATTTCTTGCTCTGAAGCGTGGGCGCCCTCTTTTTCGGTAGGGGTGGGGATGGAGATCGGGAAGAAGGTATGTTTCTGGAAAATAAGAAGAAGGGGGGTATTACAGGAGAAATCAGAGAAGTCACCAGTGTGTAGTACACAGAGCCCTGTGCTGGCAATTGGGCTGAGACCTCTGGCTCAGGACAGATATGAGGCAGAAAGATCATGGAAGAGCCTTATCACCCATGCTGGGGACAGAGCAACCTGGGAAGGTCAGTCCAGAAATGCCACCTACAGGTAATGAGCTGTGTCATATCCTGCTCCCTAAAGATAGAGTGCTGCCAGGTGCTACAGATGATCTGAAGGGACAAGTGTTCTCACCCTTATGGAGTTGTTATTGTAAGACAAGAGTTACCCACTTGAAAACAATGTGTTCAAGGCAATTTTGTAAATGACTTGCTAGATCACAGGGCACAGATTAATATTATCAAAAATATTACAGGAATTAAGAGAGGGGAGAAGAGGGTGTTGACTAAGCCTTAGATGACCAAGGCTTGAAGTTAGAGTAAAGCAGTGTTAGGAATCAGGAGAAAGTCAAGATTTGCCAGAAAATGGCCCACATGACAGATTTCTTGGAGAAAGGAGAAATGGGGAGGAAAGCAGAAGACAGAGAAGGCCAAGCAGTTAGATATGGCAGAAAAGATAAACTGGGGCCAAGGTCAAGGTCAGAGGGGACTGCTACCCCCAGAAGGTGGCTGGGTGGGAGGGAGAAGGGTCTCTGGAAGCCTGGCAGGCCAAGAAGCCAGCCTACCTGTCAGCCAACCCCAGGCTGCAGCTGGAATCTCTCTCCACCCTCCCACAGGTGGCCCCTGTGCTCAAGGAACGCATGGTGAAGGAGGGCTCCATGATGATTGGCTACCAGCCCCACGGCACCCGGGGCAACTTCTTCCGTGTGGTTGTGGCCAACCCTGCGCTGACCTGTGCTGATATAGACTTCCTCCTCAACGAGCTGGAGCGGCTCGGCCAGGACCTGTGAGCCTTCTCCTCCTCACTGCTGGCCTTGGCATCACCCCTCAGAGTCACTGCATTTCCTCCCTGTGCTCTCAAGAACAGCCTTTGAGGCCGGGTGTAGTGACTCATGCCTGTAATCCCAGCACTTTGGGAGGCCGAGGCAGGTGACTCATTTGAGGTCAGGAGTTTGAGACCAGCCTGGCCAACATAGTGAAACCCTGTCTCTACTAAAAATACAAAAATTAGCTGGGTGTGGTGGCGTGCACCTTTAATCCCAGCTACTCGGGAAGCTGAAGCAGGAGAACTGCTTGAGGCAGAGGTTGCAGTGAGCCGAGATCACACCCCTGTACTCCATCCTGGGCAACAGAAGGAAATTCCATCTCAAAATTAAAATAAAATAAATAAATAAAAATGAATAAATAACAGCCTTTCTAGGCCACAGTGACCTGCACAATGTTTATATGCTTTGACCTACTAACTCTTCCTCCTAACTAAATATTTGATATTAGGAGAATGTTAAAATAAATTACAGCATATCTATATGATGGAATGTTATTGTGCCATTAAAATGATGTTTACAAAGATAATTTTTATTAACGTAAAAATAACTAATGTAATTTATGTTGAAAAAGCTAGATACAAGACTTTATATATAGTCATATCTGAGCTGTGTTAAAAAATACATAGGAAAAGGCTGATAAAATGACATATGGCAAAATGTTAATAGTTTTCCCTGGAATAGGATAATAGGCAATTTTAAAACAGACTGCTTTAGAAAAACAAAACGAAAAAAATAGACTCCTTTATATCTTTTGATCTCCCTTCCTTTTACTATGTAATGAACATGCATTACTTTTGTAATAGGAAAATAATAAAGTTAAAATTCCAAATGCATTCTTTTGGTATGTTTTTGAAGTTTACTAACATTCAGTGTTTTTGAAATTTACTGACAGTCAACCCACTGAGCGCAGTGGCTCACACCTGTAATCCCAGCACTTTGGGAGGCCAAGGCAGGTGGATTACCTGAGGTCAGGAGTTCTAGACCAACCTGGCCAACATGGTGAAACCCTGTCTCTACTAATAATACAGAAATTAGCCGGACATGATGGTGGGTGTCTGTAATCCCAGCTACTTGGGAGGCTGAGGTGGGAGAATTGCTTGAACCCAGGAGGCAGAGGTGGCTGTGAACTGAGATCACGTCATTGCACTCCAGCCTGGTTGGCAGAGTGAGACTCCGTCTCAAAAAATAAAACATTCAACAAAATAATGGAGAACTTATGTGGCTGGGTGTGGTGGATCATGCCTATAATCCCAGCACTTTGTGAAGCTGAGGTGGGAGAATCACTTGAGCCTGGGAGTTCAAGACCAGCCTGGACAATATAACAAGACCCCATCTCTTAAAAAATTTTTTTTTTAAAAATTAGCCAGACGTAATGGTGCACATCTGTAGTCTCAGCTGTTTCAGTGGCTGAGGTGGGAAGATTGCCTGGGCCCAGGAGGTTGAGGCTGAAGTGAGCTGTGATTGCATCACTGCATTCCAGCCTGAGTAACGGAGTGATAATTTGTCTCAAAAAAGTAAAATTAAAAGGCAGTGTAAGAGAGGAACTTTTTTTCCCAAAAACCTTTACCAGGAGAGAAAAAAGCAGAGTCATCCTATAATCAATTTTACTTTGGTGACACTGAAACAAAATCGGCACTGATTGTATCTTGAGACCAGGGCCTTAAGTAATTATCAATCTTGAAAAATCTTAACATGCACACAAAGACTTTTCTTCTGCAATTTAAACAATAGAAAAGTGAACAATAATGACAACAATGAACTGTATGTCCCGTGGTTTTGTGACTGTCATACATAAAAACATCCATCCATGTAACATTTAAAATCCTAGCTGGTGTTGCGTCTCAGTCCCTTTTTGGGAAAGAGACAGCTACATGAGTTATTAAGGACAAGTGACAAGTCTGCCAGAACTTTTTGTTATTTCCAATTCCAAAAAGTATCATTTATGGAAATAGTAACGTGGCCATGTAAAAGTCTTCCAAAGTTATTTGAAGAGTTAAATACAGACTGTACAAACCATAGCAAAAGAACATCCAAATCTCCGACACAATGATTTTGACCATTTAGAGAAAAAAAGCATTTCACAAATTACTAGTAATTCCCCTATAACATAGTTGTTCTTGTTTCGAATGGTATTTTAATTTCCTCTAACAATAGAATTTTGGAGACCATCAATGTATCCTCTTAAAGGATTCTGTGTATCTGCAAAATGTCTCAACTATAGTTAAAAAAAAGAGGTTAATGGCTGCCAGGGGCTGGAGGTAGGGTGATACAGGGAATGATGATAATGGGTACAGCGTTTCTTTTAGGGATGGTGAAAATGTTCTAAAATAGATTGTGATGATGGTTGCACAACTCTGAATACACTAAAAATTGTTGAATTTTAAACTTAAGTGCATGAATTTTGTGGTGTATGAATTATATCTCAATAAAGCTATTTTATTTTTTTAAAATGGGGTTTCACCATGATGGCCAGGCTGGTCTTGAACTCCTGACCTCAGGTGATCCACCCACCTCGGCCTCCCAAAGTGCTAGGATTACAGGCGTGAGCCACCGCACCCGGCCAAAGCTATTTAAAAGAGAAAAAAAAGTCTGCTTTTCAACTCAAAGCCAGAAAGCAAAAACAAAAATAAAATCTTCAGATTCCTTAAATCATCTCCATTTCAGAAATATTTTAAAGAGAGGCCAGAAGAACAGAACATAAAATCAGTTAATCACCTGGGTTTTTTTTTTTTCAACTTCATAAAACTGATGCTTCTTTTCCTCCTTTCCCAAAATTCAGCCTCAAAATCTCTGGATTCAATAATGGTATACTCTATATTTTAATTATTTATTTTTAAAGTTTCTGTCTCACCCAATTGGAATGTAACCTCTGAGAGCAGAGAGCTTACATTTTGCTACCTCCCAAAATACTGTCTGGTATTACAAGGTGGGTACTGTTGTTGCGTGAATAGTTAATGAGCTCCAGGCACTAGTTGGCTTGCTCTCAGTCACACAGCCTTTTTTTCTTTTCTTGATGGAGTCTCTCCCTGTCGCCAGGCGGGCGTGCAATGGCGCGATCTCGGCTCACTGCAACCTCCGCCTCTCGTGTTCAAGTGATTCTCCTGCCTCAGCCTCCCAAGAAACTGGGACTACAAGTGCACACCACCACCATGTCCGGCTAATTTTTGTATTTTTAGTGGAGACAGGGTTTCACCATGTTGGTCAGGATGTCTCGAGCTCTTGCCCTCGTGATCTGCCTGCCTAATTACAGGCGTGAGCCAGTGTGCCCGGCCCCAGTCACAGAACTTTTTAAAAAATTAAATAAATAAAATAGAGACAGGGTCTCGCTATGTTGCCCAGGCTGGTCTCAAACTCCTGGGCTCAAAGCAACCCTCCAGCCTCAACCTTCCAAAGGGCCGGGATTCCAGGCATGAGCTGCCACACCCAGCCAGTCACACAACTTTGAAGTCACCATTCAGACCATCTTATCTGGCTCTTAACCATGGATCTGACCAGCTTCTGTTGACAGGTATATCTAATTCATAGGTGTGTGTGTGTGTTAGGGCCGTACACCCTAATAGCCTTTTTAAAAAAGTTTCTTTCTTCTTCCTTTTTTTGTTCCCTAATAGCCTTAATAGCCTAACCTTAGTAGCATAAATTATTAACCCTATGCTGTGGATCTACTACTTGCAGAACGGTTGCGGCCATTCCCAGGGTTCGTCACCCATCTTGCCCTTGGCCTGGGGAAATGATATTTTCCTCAATAGGAAAATAAAGGCATTGGAATTGCCTGAGTGGGTTGCAATGTCAGAATGGTTTTTTGTTGTTTGGTTTTGTTTTCGGAAAGAGCAAAGGAATCAAAGTATCCTAGACTCTAGGACCTAGGACCAGCCTCCCCTTGGCTGGGGAAGGAAGATGGTGCCCTTCACAGGGAGGAAGGCCAGGGCCTGGGAAGGTAAGAAGCTGGATGGGGTACCTAGGATGTCGTGGCAGCTCTCTGAGGTTGAGAGTAAGAACCCTTTAAAGAAAGTAGATAAAAAAGAACAAGCTACAGTCAGAATTTGACTGGATACTTGGAACTGTCCTTATATACCCTAGTCCTCATTTGGCTGTTTTTCTTGTTTATATGCCCTTTAAAAACCTTTTGTATAGCATCCTTCAATGGTTCAGCTGGTACCGCAGAGGACTATAGTCAAAACCTTTTTATTTTGAAATAATTTCAAACTTATAGAAAAGTTGAATTCTTGTAATTATTCTTAGTTACAGAGACCTCTCTTTACCCAGATTTATCTATTTCTCACATTTTGACAAATTTGCTTTGTCATTCTCTCTCTAAATGGATTAGACTCATTTTTTGAAATCAGTTGAGAGTCAGTGCATATATTATGACCCTTTATCTTTTCATACTATAATGCATATTTCTCAACGACAAGAATATTCTCTTAAATAATCACGGTACAGGCTAGGCAAGGTGGCTCACACCTGCAATCCCAGTGCTTTGAGAGGTTGAGGTGGGAGTATCTGTGGATGCCAGGAATTCAAAATCAGCCTGGACAACACAGCAAGATCCTGTTTCTACTAAAAAAATAAAAAATAAATTAGCCAAGCATGGTGGCATGCTCCTACAGTCCCAGCTACTTGGGAGGCTGAGGTGGGGGGATTGCTTGAGGCCTATGAGTTTGAAGCTGCAGTGAGCTACGATTGAGCCACTGCATTCTATCCTGGGCAACAGAGCAAGACTCTGTCTCTAAAATAAAAATTAAAAAAAAAAAAAAAATATATATATATATCATGGTACTGGGGGAAGCAGAAAAGTTCCTTTTTAAAGTTTCCTTTCTTGTTAAAGAATAAGTGTGCTAATAACTTTGTTAAGCCCTCTCCCATGTAGCTGTTAGACACACCATGCTTACAGGCACGCAGTACATTCTATGTCCTTGTACTTTAACCAAGATATCTGTGCTGGACGTGCTCACAGGCATGTCCCAGCTCTCCACTGCTTTTACCTGTTTAGAAAAGTTTTAAGTTGTTAGCCAATTGGGTTTTAGTTTAGATTGTGAGGTCTGGTTCCAGCCAAAGGAGATCAGACACAGCAGTAAGGACAACCCCAAACGCATAAGGAATAAATTTGTCTTCCTTTATACACTGTACTCTTGTGGCCAGATAGCTATCAAGAGTTCCCTTCCTGCAGTCCAGGAAGTAAAGATCTCATTGCCAAAAGATGCTTTGTCTCAGGGCTGATTTTTCTTTGTGCCACCGAGCATCTATTTCCAACAGTACAATTATCAAATACAGGAAGTTTAACGTGACATGATACAATTCATATTCCACAGTTGTCAATTGTCCCAGTAACACCCTTGATGGCATTTCCCCCTCCAGTACAAGGCCCTTCAGGAGTATGGACTGCATTTTGTTGTCCTGCTCCTTGTCTCCTTTAATCTAAAATGATTCCTCAGCCTTTCTTTGTCATTAATGACACTGACATTAAAAAAATCCAGGCCAGCTCTTTTATAGAAAGTTCATCAGTACGTGTTCCCTGGTGTTTCCTCATGACTGGGTTCAGTTTATGCTTCTGACCTGAAATACCACATAAATCGTGTTATGTTCTTTGAAGGGGAAGCCCAACCCAAGCCCTGCAATGTCCACCTGCTCCTTCCTGACGATGTCAGTTTAATCAAGGGCAAACTTGCTCATGATGTTGTCTGGTTTCTCCATGATATACAGTTACTATTTTGAAACGTGTGAACTTGTAACAATTTGTAAACAATCTGTGGTGAGATACTTTGAGATCACGACAACCCTGCCGCCCGCTTCCTACTTTCTCCACCTAGACTTAGTATCCAGGTAAGAGGCGGGA